AGAAGAAGAAGAAGAAGAAGAAGAAGAAGAAGAAGAAGAAGAAGAAAGATTTCCAACTCAGTAAGAGAGGAAGAGGACCAACATTCAGAAGAGAAAGGGCAAAGAAGAAATAAATGCTATTGAGATTTAGGGTGATTAATAAAAAAAGGCGCATAATTTAATGAAAGTGCAGCTAGTACTGAAGAAGGGAGGGTTAGATTGAGTAAGATAACAATTAGTGTCCTTTTAAAATTAATAATTTGAATTATTAACGGCGAACCAGTAGGAAAAAGCAAAACAATTAAAGTAATATAATAAGAACACAAAGATTTACCGAGGTTCAGCTTAACTTAAAGCCTACTTCCTCCCTACCCTAATTACTTTATTAATCTCCTTTGAAAAACAAAAGCAATTACAATTTATTGTTTGTCTACTCGAGTCAAATAATTTCCCACACATAAATCTAGATGTGCAATGTGAACATGATCTCACAAGCAGGCGTACTTGACCTCACAAATTCTATCCAATCACTAATCCCTTAAGGATTCAATTACAAATACACAAGCTCTCTCATAAAGCTAAGGTAAGAGACAATGAAAACCGTAACAATGTGTGCACTACAAGTTTATAAACTAGCGATTTGTTTCCAAAGAGTGTTGAGCTTTTCAAATGAATCTCTAAGCTCAACCTAGAAATGTAATTATGTTAAAAGGGCCTTGGGGGATGAATCATTCTGTGACCAAAAAAGATCATGTATGTCTTAGTCAAAGATAGTTTCCACAATACATCACATACATAAATGAAAACATCTCTATACTATTATATTTCCATAAATAGCAATAGAATATTCATCCCTCTATTTTATTAAATGCATCACTTGAGTTATCACGCTTGTCAAGCATAATTTTGACAATAAATATCTTTAATTAAATATATATTAGTAAAAACTATATTATGAAAGTAGACATTGTAAAAATCCAACAATATATTACATGACCAGGTTTATAAATTATATAGTATTAAAAAAATTAAGTCAAAGGTAACGTATGAATAGTGCAAAATCTAAAGTGATACATTTAAAAAAACGGAGGGAGTATATCCTAAGACATATGCATAATAATTCATCTCTCTAAACATCACAACTACAACTTCCCTTAGTCAGCGAATATTCCCATGCTAAAAATATGTTAAAGGAATAAATGAGACCTTCAGAAATAGTAAACGGATAGCCAACTAACGGACCATATTTATCAAGTAGACTTTTTGTTCAATTTACTGAACTGGTAGTGATGCGGGTGCATGAAACTTGGTGGAGGAAGTTGAAGAAGTGCTTGACACGTTGTGAGGAGAGAAGGGTAGCCCGTCATTGGGGATCCCACTTCCTCTATGCCCATGGCCCTTTAAAAGCCTTGGACATTACACTTTTTAAGGTGTGTTAGGATTTGAATTCATGACTGTTTGGGGGACCTTGAATTAAAAGTGATTGTATCATTACTCTTTTTTATAAGAAACCGATAGAGAATCGCCAATGAGTTTTAGGAAAACTCATAAACCTCCTTCATGCCTTTCACCAAAGTAGAGTTCAAGGGATATTTGGCACGAATCCAAAGTTTGCCCATGCCCGAATTGGTCTACTTGTATGAGAAATGAGTTCGGGAGCGAGGGTACTAAGATAACATTCCCATTAGGGGGGAATCTCCATCCTAGCCCTAGTGCGGCCTCTACTAGCTCTTGCTTTTCACAATTTCATTGCCAAACAATATATGCAACGTGATATCTAAAACTAAGTTAGTTGATTTTATTTACACGCGTCAATCACATAGAGATTTTATTACAATGAATGTCGTTATTCTTATTTAATTCAAATTCATGAAAGAACAATAATAAACAAGATTCGCCTTGGCTTAAGTGATAAAACAGTCAATTAATTTATTCAATTCTAGTCTTATTTAACTAAAGTTCACTATGTCAAAAATGATGAATTAAATATTTATTTAATGTGATAAAGCAACACTAATTAATCGTTTTAGGTGATTTAAGACAAGAAAAGTAGAGTGATTTATCTAAGTGCTTGGGAATTACCACTCTTCCTTGCTAGATCTTCGTTTAGAAAGCAAATGGACACCTTCTTGTCGGGGAACCTCCACCGTAAGAACAAAACAATTAAAAAGGTGATTGTTTAGGGTAAGAGGGTTGATTATTACGTAAGTTCACAAAGATGTTATTGCTGACTTTTAGGCTATTTTTCTGTGTGTTTAGAGCTCGTATTAAACCTCTATTTATAGGGAATGGGTTAGATTACGGTTTCTGAGATTCTGTCGCAGCAGGTGGCGCGCGCAACTGTGAAGGTTGCGCGTGGCTTCCGCACGCAAGTGAAGGAGTTGCGCTGCCTAGAACAACGTGACTTCTAGTCTTGCGAGTAGCTGTATGGTAAGATTCGATTTAGTATCTTTTTAAAATTCTGAATCTTCCGCAAGCGCTTCTCTGAAGGTTGCGCGGGTTGTTGTGCGCGCCAGGCCAGCGCGACTTCATGAGTTGTGCGTGGATTTTCCTGCGGCAGCCCTAGATTTTAACCTAGGCGCTTTAAATCCGTCTGAAATTAGGTTTAGTCTTTGGATAAGGCCTAATTTCTGGTCGGGCTTAGTGTTAATAAGATTTTAGTTCATTTTGTTTTGGTCAAGCTAGCTAGGTTTATGTGTTTAGGCTTTAATCAGTAGTCCATAAGCATTCGCTACACCAATCTAGCACAAAGACAAAATTATTTATCGTCATAGCACTTCCGGTCGAGACAGGGGACCAAAAGTAGATGTCTACACACATAGTCGCTCTAAACTCCTTGGTGGTCACCTCTCGGGGTTGACCATCATCAAACTTGAGTAACTTTTGTTTGCTTAGAATAAAACTCCAAGGATTCCATGTGTTAGCCAAGAAAGAAAACTTATCAATGTATTACTCAACTAATTTAATCAGCTATATCTTCTTTGTCATAAAGAATTTTTAGGTGATTCAAATTAGCGATGAAAGTAGAGTCCAAGAGCTTTCCAACGACAGGTCACATGCCTTATTTGAGCAAGAAATGAAGAAGTTATGAGCGTTTGAAATCGAGTTGTCCAGGCAGAGCCGCTAGAGTGCCGACTATTGGAGCGCCTGCTCCTCTTTTCAGAGCGCTCGTTCCATCCGAAATTGGGATTTTTGACAGAATTTTTGGAGCAACTGCTCCCCTCTATGGAGTGACCCCTCTATTTGAGCGGAGCGACCACTCCAACCTTCTAGAGCGACCGCTCTAGAACCCCTATTTTGTAGCGGCTTTTGTTCTTTCTTTTTGTTTTCTTTGTTTGCTTTTATTCTTGGACTTTCATTTGTTATCCAAGGGTGTAATGTAAGAACTTTAGGTTTTTTTTGGAAAGACTTTAAATAGGGCTAAGCTTGCCTTTTTAGGCTTTGATTAAACCCTTATTGCATCAAAATTGGTGATTGATGTGATAAGAATTTATCTTTGTTATTTGTTCTCTCCAAAATTACATCTTGAATATTGAAGTTTGGATTGAAAATTTGTTTTTGTTGGTTATTTTATATCAATTTGATTCAAGAGCCCAGGTTATTAGCCTAGAAAGATCCTACCTTTTTTAATCTCTCTTTTCCCCTCTCAAAAGATTTCATCTTTTTTCCCCACAAAATTTTAACTCTTCACTCTCAAAAGATACAAACTTTCCTTCTTGAAACATGGATGATATATACTTTATGAAGATGAAGAAAGTCACAATGAGCACTCTAGATTGGATGCTCTAGAAAGGAAGTTTGATAGACTTCTTGAAATCTTGGAGAATAGAAGAAGTCCTAGAAGAAGGAGAAGTCCAAGTGCAGAAGATGGTTCTGACTCTCTTCACCGGAGAAGGGAACACCACCAACGGCACCATGAGGACAACCGTGACGTAGGGAAAACTAGGTCGTTGAGTAATCCTCCCTAAGGGAAAAAAATTATAATCACTTAACAAATCTAAATACAAGTATAGAGCTAAGTTAAGGGTCGAACCACTAGGAACGGTTATGCTCAAGTATCCAATTAACGCCTAAGCTAGGTCAAAGTCAAGAGTGAAGAATTGAGTAACTAATACTAATCAACTACTAAGAATCAAACAAATGGAACACTAGGGAATGGGGATCAACATGTAATCATGAAAATTGCAACAACTTGGGAAGGTTAAGCCAATCAATGGTTGTGAAGAGTAATGGAAAGAGCTATCAATTGCATCAAAGAGCTATCGCCTAGTCGTCAAGCTAGGTCTCCACTATGAATGACAAATTAGGAGAATCACAATTCAAACCAATCAACAACTGCAAATCCTAAATTGAGTGGTCATGTCATTAGGATCTACAATGCAATCTAGCATAGTTCTCAAAGCCTAATCAAACTAAGCACATGCAAACTTCCATTAATCAATTTCATCTCAATAATTAATCAACATAATTCCCAAATTAATCACAATCAATTAATCATACAAGCTTTACCCAAAACCTAGCAAGCAACTACTCGCTAAAATTCATCATCAAATCAAGGCAAGTAAATGAAATCAAGAATCAACAAATATTGTTATTTTTTTGAAGCAAAACGCAATTAATTAAGTACAACGTTCTTAAAATTAAAAAGCACTCTCCAAACGGTTACTTTTTGTTTCTTTTCGACCGAATGATATGTTCCCTTGTAGCTATTACCCAAAATTATAGCATTTATCTGAGGGTTTAAATTTAATTAGATCACACACACACACACACATATATGTATATATATTTATAGCTAGTTTTTCTACCATTTCATTATTAATATGAGGGAATAGTTTTATTTCAACTGCATAGGGCCTTCATAATCATTGGGATGACCCTGATTGAGAAGCAGGAGACTTTTTGCCAAGTTAGAAAAATGTACTTTTATGGTGGATAGCTGTTTTTCTTGGCTATGTGATATCTAATGTAGGGATCTAAATAGACCCTAGTAAGGTGAAAGTCATTCAATCTTGGCTTACTCCTACCACTCTCACCCATATTAGGAGTTTCCATGTCTTAGCTTCTTTCTATCGAAGATTTATGAAGAATTTTAGTGCTATTTTAGCTCCGGTTACCGAATGCATGAAGAAGGGAACTTTTGAGTGGACACCGTGTGCTCAAGAGGCTTTTGAGGCTCTAAAGATGAAATTGTGTGAAGATCCAATCTTGGCTCTTCAAGATTTTGATCAACCCTTTGGGGTTGAATGTGATGCTAGTGGAGTTGGAGTTGGGGCAGTACTTGTTAGGGCTGGCAAAAGCTAACCCGACCCGACAACCCAACCCGAACCTAACCCGGAATAAACGGGTTTTGTGGGAGATTTTCAACCCGTTTATGTTATTGTGTCAACTGAACCTGACCTGAAGTTAAAAGGATCGGGTTTAGGTTAATTGTAAATCCCAACCTGCCTAAACCCGTTTGATTAATTGGGTCAGTTTCAGGTCGGGTCAACCCGAACCCAACCCGCATAAACCTGTTTACCAGCCCTATTTTTACACAGTAATTTTTAAATATGGGCCAAGCCCAAACTATCTAGTGACAAAAATGAAAAACCCTACAACTCTTTCTTACCTAACGCACGACGCTTTCACTCCTTCAACATTCCATTTTCATTTACTCTTTACTCATTCTCTTGATCTCTCCTCTCTCTTCTCTCTTCTTTCTCTTGTTTTCATTTTTTTTCATTAAATTGATGATTGAAGCTCGTGAATCTTAATCTTAACATGAAAGGAATGATGTCCTTCCAACAAGTGTATTATTCTGATAGAGGGTTCAGAATTATCAGAGAGCTAATTCTTCAGTAAGGTCAAGTGATTGGAATGCCTAGGTGGAGGCCGCTTCCGATCAGTAATATTAATGTACAATTAATATTACAACTTAATCTTGACTGAACCCTTCGGGTCGAACCCAATCGAAAAACCGATCCGAGACGACAAATCAATTTGAAAGATTTGATGAGTCGTCGGAGTTTTACGAACAAAGACGTCGGATATCGAGCTTAGAGCGTCGAGATTGAGTGTCGCAAGTCGAGTCGAATTTAGAATTCGAAGAGACGCAAAATCAATCGAGTTACAAGTACGAACCTAGCCGTAGCCTCGCATTGGCCTAGCCATGTGTGTAACACCCCCAAATCTCCCTCTACCGAATATGTAGAAAAAACGTATAAATACTGTAGAGATAGCTTGGGCGTATTACCGCCGCGTGATAACGCAAGGCTTATACTTTAAAATACTTTTGCAGCGGAAATTCTTTATTCTTATTAATAAAACTTTAAATAAAACTTGTTCATAATTTGTGACACAAAAACGACTCCAACTTTTCCTAAGCTAGGTGAAATTCCCGTGGACTCCCATATGCATCAATCAACTTCCACCTGAAACATTCACCTGCTTACCATAAATGGTAAACAGGGCAAAGCCAAAACAAAAGCACGTATTAGCAAATTATGCTAAGTAGATTATGTGTAGAATAAGTAAAACATAATTTAAATCATTTCGATTTAATTCATAAGAATTCCAATGTCGTACTCAAGTAAGAGTTTTTCCAATTCAATTCTTTCAAGACAAATTTAAAAACTCAATCGATTACGTTCCAAAACCAATTTCTTATTAAGTGTGCACACCCCCCAAGTGGTTTACTTTATGAACAAAGGCCAATCTTGAGGAAAGGCTAGGTCATGCAAAGTCCATAGACTTTTCTAATCCATTCCCTAAGTGGGATTCATAACCAGATCGATTGATTGCTTAAAAACACTTTTTAAAATCCGTTATACTTGAACAACAATAAACTTGTAAATCGTTTTTAATCCAATCCTTTTTGATAATTTCAATCATGATTCTAAGTCTCTTTTGTTTTAATCAAAATCATTAATTTCAATCCATCATACAACATAATTTCATAAAACATAATTTCGTAATAACAAAATTTCATACGGAAAATATAATTTCATACGGAACAATATAATATAATTTCATAAAACATAATAAATCATAATTTCATAAGAAATATATATAAACATAATTTCATAGACAACTTTCGAAGGTATCAAACCACATAACGTACCTTAATTCCGAATATCAATCAACACTTCGCACTTTCAAAGTTCAATCACGAATACACCTTGCAATTAACATAACCATACGGTTATCACAACATCTTTAGACATAAACCCAAATCTAATGCGCATGGACTATAAAACACTTTTAATAATAATACTTTAATATAAAATTATAACTGTGAAATAGGTAATTATATTTTAGAAAACCAACCATGAAGAAAATAAAGGAATAGGATTAAAGGAAATTGAATTTGTGTTGGAAAGGATAGGCAGAACTTGCAGAGGTCATAACTCCTTTGATATAACTCCGAATTGGGTGATTCTTGAGCCTAACGTCAAGGATTTTTTGAGAGGAATAATATTTTGTGAAATAGAAAAATCCAAAAACTGAACAAAAATTCCCGAAAATTGGCTCCAAAGATATACGGGCAGATTTTCTTTTAGAAAAGAGGAAAAGAAAAATAGGAAAAGTTTGAGGGAAAAGAAGAGTAAAAGAAAAGAACAGAATTGAGTTTTTGGTGTGAAGAATATGAAAGTTATGAGGGGGTATTTATAGGTGTTTAGGTGATGAGTTTATAGAAATTTAGGGTTGTATAATTTATGGAAATTTTAAAGAATAGAACTTAGGGTTTTAAATGTATGGAAGGATATTAGATTTTATTTGGTCATAAAATATTATTTAGTAGGTTTTGATCTTGGAGTGCAAGTATAGAATAACATCAAGAGATTTTAGATTTAAGAATAGAAATAAGGAATTTTAAAGGATTTTTATTTTTAATAAAATAAATTAAAACCATTTAGAAAGTTCATGAGTAGCCGAAAATATTGAGCTTAATATTGCTCAATATTTTCGGTCCTTCTATGTTAATTTATGGATTTTGTAAAATAATTTATTTACCTAAAATTAATAATCCCATAAAATTTATTTGTGAAAATTAATAATTGAAGAATAAAAATCAAATTTGTATTAACTAATTAGGGTGGCCGAAAATATTGACAAATAAAAATTAATTAAATCAGATTTTTATTGTATAAAATCCGAAAATTAATATATTTCATGAAAATAATTAATTTAGAAAAATATTAAGACAATTTAGATTTTTATTCTATGAAAACCGAAAATACATTTTAATTAATCTACCGAATTAATATAATTTCGGTTTAGCTATTTAAATTTTGAGAAATCAAAAATACTATTTATAACATAAGTATAAAATAGTTTCATTTATTGGATTATCCAATTTAATTAGTTTTGTAAGATAATGATTTAGGCGCCAAAATTTAAATATCATTTTGGCTCCAAAACTAAAATACTCTTTAGAAAATAATTAATTTAGAAAAATACATCAAAATACGAGACTAAAATACCTTTCAAAAATACGGGGTATTACAATGTGAGAGCTAGGCTAGGCGAGATCCATCGCAAGCCTAGCATGCTAGGCGTGCTAGGGCATTGCGTGCTAGCAGGCCATGCGCCCAAGTACCATCGCACTGTCGCACCATCGCAGCATTGCATGTGCGTGTGGATGTGCTAGGCGTTGGCGCTAGGCAAGGCCTAGCACTGCTCATCGCACCATAGCAGCATGTGCGTGTGTGTGTGTGTGTGTTGCTAGCACAGCACCATGCACCATCGCTAGTTGCATGTGCGTCGGCGTGTGCATCGCTACACTACTAGAAATAGGCCGTTTTCCAACGGAATCGTTCCGACGGACCTTTATTCCGTTGGAAAATTTGTCCTTTCTGACGGAATTAGGATCTGTCAGAAAATTCTGTCGGAAAAGGTACGTTACGGCGGAAAATCCATCGGAATACTTGCGACGGAAATTAATTCCCTCGGAAAAATAGGCTTCCAACGGAATATTCCGTCTGAACGTTAAGTTATCGACTGAATTAAATTTCGTCGAAAATTTCCGGCGGAATATTCCCTCGGAAATCCCAATCTTGCCGACGGAATAAAATTCCGTCGGAAAATACCAAGCATACCGACGGATTAAAATTCCGTCGAAAATTTCCGACGAAATTTCCGTCGGAATCTTATTTTAAACAATGAAACCCTAATCTCCTTCCTTGTAAATTCTGCCTGTTTTCTCCTTCCTTCCTTCTTTTTTCCCTTTTTCTTTCTCCCTCCTTATCTCCTTCCTTCCTTCTCTGTCTTTCCCCTTTTCTCTTTCCTGCATCTTCCCCTTCTCCTTCTCTTTCCCTTCTTCTTATCTCCTTTTCTTTCCCGCATCTTCCCCTTTTTCTTTCTCTCTCCTTATCTCCTTCCTTCCTTTTCTTTCCTTTCTCAATAACATCAAGAACAGCGACATCACAACGGCGCAACAACACGGTTGCCACCACATCAACGACATCAACAACATCTTCGTCTTCTTCGACCGACATGAACGACAACCAGCAGCAACGACCGACATCAAGATCTAGGTTTTTTTTTCGGATCTTCATTAATTTCAGAAGATAATTTAAATGTATATATAGTTGTTTTGTTTGATTTCATTTTTTTATTTGTATTTTTTTTGGATCTCAATTTGTATTTTTTTGATTTGTATTTTTCGATTTGTATTTTTCGAATAGATTTGTATGAATCGATTTCAATTTTTAGATTTGTATTTTTCGATTTCATTTTTTCGATTTTTATTTTTCGAATTATTTTTATTAGTTTTTAATTTGGGTTAGGCTGTTGGTGGTGGCTAGACAGGGTGGGTGGGTGGCGTTGGGGAGGTTTGGACTGGTGGATGTGGGAGGTTTGGAAGGGGGTTCTAGGTGGTGTAGGGTCCGTGGGGTGTGGGTGGGGTGGGGTGTCTGGGTGGGGAGATGGGTCTGGGTTTGGTTTGGTGGGTCTGGGTGGGGTGGGGTGTATGGGTGGGGTGGGGTGTCTGGGTGTGGGAAAATGGGTAGTGGGTGGTGTGGGCTGGTGGCGGGGTGGATCTGGGTGGGGAAAGTGGTGGTTTTTTTAAAAAA